AAGCTGCGTGGAGATCGGGCAGGGAATATATTGCCATCTGGCTGGTGTTATTTTTTTACTCTAAGTTTATTTTTTTCCCCAGCACTGCAGAAAAGAACAGCTTCTTTTCTCCAGTTCTTCCCAGCACTGTGGCCTTCCCTGTAATGGCTGCTATAAAAGCCTTTTCCTTCTGGTGCTTTCTCATGTGTTCCCTTCCAAATCCTGCTGGAAAGCTCCTTCTCCTTGATCTTTCTCTGATGTTGCCTCATCCCTCTCTGCTGTATATGTAGAGAAAGGTTATGAGGTAGAGAAAGGGTAGAGGTCCCGTGCGCCTCGCAGCCTCACGCACCCAGCCGGGTCTCGCTGGAGTCCCTGCACTCGGTTGTTTTGCAGGAGTAATGATTACTTGTGGATTGTAGTGCTTTGCTGAGCTGGAGCTGGAGTTAAAAGAAAGCTGCTGCCAGCAAGAGCCTTGCATTTCTCTGATCCTTCAGCTTATGTGCCTGTTGCAGAAGCTGTCATGCCTGTTTTTGCATTTAAACCCATTTTCTGTCTTGGTAGCTCTCAAGCACAACCTTGGTGCCGCAGTTAAGAGAGACCAAGAATTTGATCTGATTGTCAGTCTGAATCCATAGCCTGATGTGGTTTGTTCTTGTTCCTGTTCTGTCCCCGAGTTGTCCTGCTGTGCCCGGACATGATGGCTGCGAGTCTGGTGGTGTCTGTAGGTGTGAACACTGTGAACAGCTCATGTAGGAGTGCAGCAAAGCCCTGGCCATGCTGGACGCACCACAGGACATTGTATGTGCCTGTACACCCCAGGCCCTCTGCGTGGCACGCTTGTTCCACTGGAAGGAGGACAGCGGGCTTGGCTTCTCCTTCGTGCCCCATGGCAGCTCCTATTGCTGGTGTTGCCCAGGGCAGGGGTTGCAGTTTAGTGTGGTCCAGCCCTTGCCCCAGTGGGGACCACGGGCAGCCCTCGGTCTCTGCTTCCATCTGCTGGACAAGCTCTGGCTCCTGCTCTCACGTTTTCCCTTGGTGCCTCACGGGTTTTGCTAGCTCCTTTTAAACTGTGCGCATGTAATACTACAGATGGAAATCCCTTTCACACGTCTATGGGCTGCAAGAAGATTTCAGTGTTGGACCAACTGTCTTTGGCAAGACTGGAGTAAATGGCAAGAAGCCTGGAGATGGGCTGAGCACAGCACCTTCAGTGCAGCAGTGTATAACCTCCTGCTGTGTAGCAGGCCTGTGTGCTGAGGCCAAAACTGCTCTGGTTTGTACCACAAGAAAGTCTAGTATGGATGAGTGTTGCTTGGATGCCACATGAGTGGCCTGTGTGGGCCAGGCCAGAGGTCCAGCCATTGCAAGTGCCATCTCCAAAAGTGACCACAGCGGATGGTAGAGGAAAGCATGTAAAAAGAACTGGGCAGGGAGAACATGGTGCTTTCCTTGGACATCTCAGCATCTGACAGTCAGGGATGTGGAAACACCTTGGGCTGGGGACTGCATCGAGACCTTCATATTTAACAGTCCTGATAAATGGGTCCTTCATGAGCTTGCCTGAACTTCTTGGGTTTTGAACTCTGCAGCATCTTAGGACAGTGAGTTTGTACAGTGCAGAGGTTCTGCTTTTGTTTATTTGAGACCTTCTGCCAACAGCTTTCTCTGCTAGCTCAGGGGAGCACCCAGGGCAGGTCTTAGAATTACTTGTACAACGTGACTCCTCTGCAGTTATTTCTCCTTTCATGCGGACAACAACAAAAGTGTCCCTCTGAGTTAGACATCCTTGAGAGTGCTGGAAGAACAGGGTTGCTGGGTTGTGGAGGGTTATGAACAGTCTGGTCTGCTCAAGAGTGCTGTGGTTGTTTTCATCTGACAACAGAAATCTGGCTCCTGCAGAGGCATTTCCTTAACCTTCCCTTAACCCCTGCTCAGCAGTGGGCAGACACAGGCAGAAGGTTCATTTCAAGCAAAAACCACCTCCATCTTGTACTCAAGAAGTTGTGCAATGCAGTCTATAGACCTTCCTGTAAATGCCGCTTGATTTACTTTTGGCTTTGTCTGTGCACTTTCTCCTCCAGATGTGCAATGACTGATTCAGTCTTTGTGCCATCAGCTAAAGGCCTGGGCACAAGCTTGACCTCTCTTTGGTGCCATTTACGGTACAGCAGCTGGATGTTAGGATTTGTTTGACTGAGTTACTAGGTTCTTTCTGAGCTGTTACAGTGCCAAGTTACTAGATTCTTTCTGAGCTGTTACAGTGCCTTAGCAAAGGGTGTGTTGTCTTGCTCTGTTTGAGGATAGCAGTGTCTTGTCTCATGTAATTAACAAAACACCCATTTAGCAACAGCTGATGAAGGTGCTGGGTTGAAACTCTATTTATTTTCCATGTGAAAATCCTGCTGCTAATTTTTGCTAGGACCAGCATGATGAGGATGCATCTTCAGGACACCCTGTTGTCCTTTAGCAAAAATATTGCAATCATGTCAAACAAGAACTGCTGCTTCTCCTCCAGCTGGCCATGACCCATTATCACATGTGAAACAACCCACGGGGTGTGTGGGCTCCACATTCTCTGTTTTTCTAGGGACTTTGCAGTTTGGAAGGACAGACTTTTCTTTTCCCTTTTGACTCCAGGTTCCCAGTCAGCAGGAGGAGATGTCGCCATCGTTGCTGCTCCTGAGAACACCACGGTGGTGGCCGGGGAGAGCGTGGTGATGGAGTGCATGGCAGCTGCTGATCCCACCCCCTTTGTCTCCTGGATCCGACAGGGTGAGCCTGAGGGACAGGATTAAGTTTTTGTTGTCCAGAGGAACCTGTGCATACTTTATGTTTAAAAACATCTATTAAAAAGCTGAGAAATCTGTGGGGCTGGAAGGGTGCTTGTTATAGCAGTACCTAATGACACGGGTGGTGGTGCAGTGTAGGGTGTCCTTGCTAAACTGGAATTACTAATTAAATCTAGAAGGTTACAAAGCATGCAGTTCACTTTATAGTTGGTTGACCTGTGAAATATATGCAGCTCTAATGCTTGGATGCCTTTTGATCTAAATTAGTCATCCTTATTGTATGAGCTTGAGCACTGAAGGTCATGAGATGGGGTCAGGCCTATGCCATTCCTACAGGGACTCGGAGGTTAGTGGGGATTCTGTGGAATCCGCCTTTGCATGAGAGAAATAACTTGTACGATCTTGCAGGATTCTGAAACGTGGTAAGATTTAATCCTTGCAGTGGCAGGGCATGTTGCTGGAAGGTTTTTATTCACAGTCTTACTGTGGTCACACTGGTGATAGAAGGATTGAGCAGAAGCTCAGGTCTCCTCAGAGGTGTACAGGTGAGCCAGACTGGCACACGTTACCCAGGGCTGATAGCCTAAGTCATGAGTTGGGTGCTAGTGTCACTTCAAGTGTCGCATCCATCAGATGTGTTTCAGAGGCTCTGCCTGAAGATGTTCTCAGCTCAGGAGTCAGTTCTCCCCTAGAAAAGGCTCTCAGTCATTTCCATAAATCCAGGTCATGATTTAAAACTCCTCTCCCCTGTAACCATTTATTGTGGTTGGTCTTAAGCCCAGACTTGTCCACAGGCAGGGATTTTAGTGTATATAAATATTTCCTCTTCCCCACAAAAAAAAAGGACCAAAAATATCTCAGAGGATATAACTTTTGATTAAATGCTCTGGCAGAAATGTTTCTGGTTTATCCTGTGCACTTCACAATTCCAGATACATGCTAGATCACTTAATCATTGCTTTGCTGGGAGCTGCTGATGCCTGAGTAGAGTAGGTATTACTAATTATCACTATGAAAGTTTTTTGAATGGGGAGGAAAAGGAGGAGGAAAGGTTGATGAAAGAGTTCTTTACATGCTTTGTTTTGAAGTGGTTGCTTGGTCTCCCCTGTGCTTCCCAGTGTGGACTCTTCAATTAGAAAAGATGGATTAACAGTATTAGCAGTTCTGTGTTATACAAGCATGTTTCTTTCCAAGGCTTCATTAAGGAGCAGGCTGGGTTACTGGACGATTAGTCATGTAGGTAACACGGAGTATGGTACCTCCAGGTTGCCAGTTTGGCTCTTGCCACTCTTGGTGGTGTCAGCTAATTGCTACCATCTGGAGTCAGGTTTTCAAAGTGCTCCAGTGCAAAAGGGGTGCACGGATTTTCCCCTCCTCTGAGCATGCAGCCAGTGAATTGTGAGGCCATCTAAATACCCCTAAACTGTGGAGGGAGGGGGCAGAGGATCTGATCTCAGCTGCATTCCCTGCTGATGGTGCTAAGTAGGTGTGCAGCTGCTCACAGTGGAGGTGGAGAGCTTGCTTCTGTCTCGAGGTACAGACTCAGCTGAATCTCTGAGAGGTAAAGGTAAGACAGTGCTGAGCTTTTGCTGTCTGAAAGACATCCCTGCTTTTGTAGGTGAAGAGGGACAAAGTCTGGTGTAGCACAGCTCTGCACAAACCGGCTGGCTGTGCCAGAGCTGGCCACGGGTACCTGACCTCCCATCCGTGCCTTTCCTTGCTCATACTCTGTCCCCAGCTCCTGGCTTTGCCCTCCTCCACTCATTCAGAGGTGCCAACACCATGGTCCCCATGTTTCTCACACCAGAGCAGTGCTGACAATAAGCAGGGCCCAGCGCCAGTCTGTGATATGCTGAGGAGCCCAGGGCTACTGGAAGTTGTAGAAGGATGGCTTATCTTCTGGCCAGGGAGCCAGAGCCACCCTTTCCTTCTTCCCTACTTCCCCTACTCAGCAATGCTGAGCATCTGGCCAGGAGAATGGGGAGAGGTCAGCTTATGGTCCAAGCATCAGAGCCCCAAGGAGAACCAGGTGTCTTCCTGATACTCTGAAAATCAGGAGCCAAGCTGGGGGCAAAGAATGAATTGGGAAGCTCAATAAATTTGGGTTCACGTGTGGGACCCAGAGGAAGGAAGAACTCCTGAGCTGTTAGTCATTCAGTGCTCTTGCTGACATCTGCATTAACGAGTGAGGGGAGGAGGTGTGTGTGTTCGTGCTTGGGGGTCATCAGGCAGATCCAGCAGCTTTTCCAAGATGTGTGTTAGTACAGCTTTTCCTTGAATGTGCTATTCCTGGGGGCTCTCATTGCAGGCACACCCTTGGTACTAGAGACTGTTTTGATCCAAAACAGAACAACTTCAGTTATTAGAGGCTAAACTAAGCCTTGAGCCAATGCTGGCTTGGGCTGGCTGATGCTTGATCAAACGCTGAGGAGTGTCCCAGCAGGAACCTTCCTCTGGGCTGGGATTCGGGATTTGAGGGTCTCTCCACTCCCCAGCTGTGATCCTGGCTCTTCACAAGCCCTCATAAAGGGGGCTGCCTCTCACATTTGTGCATGTTTCTTCCTGCAGATGGAAAGCCTGTTTCCACGGATGTGATTGTGCTGGGCCGGACAAACCTCCTCATCCCTTCGAGCCAGCCCCATCACTCGGGGGTGTACGTCTGCCGTGCTAACAAACCCCAGACCAGGCAGTTCGTCACAGCCGCGGCTGAGCTCCGGGTCCTTGGTGAGTAGAGAGCAGGGTGAATGCTCCAGGTTGAAACCCTGACCAGGCAGGTGTGGATTACATGGACCAACATCCAGGAGATACCCAAGAAGTTGTGTCTGTGGCCCGTGCTGGGTAAGATGGGAGCCAGGGTAGAGCCAGGAGGCCATGGGTTGGGATAGCTCTCAGTGGGAGTGTCTCCTCTTTAATTTGGGGTTTAGTTCCTTGTATTTACTGAACCGTTTTATGCCTTATTCTTGTTCTCCAGGGTTCCCTCATGGAAATCTGTATCAGCAATTAACTTTCAGTATCGTGGAAGCCAGCAGGGAGAACAGCCTAGGATCAGGGAGTGCAGCACATGATTGATAGAGAATTTATTTTTCCTTTTGGACAGAGTCTAAATTAAGCCTCTAGAGTCTGCCTGGCAAATCCTATCTTGTAAGCAAAGCTGCTACTGAATAAAACATAGCACCGAGTGGGGAGGAGAAGGGATTTGCTTTGCTATCTTTTCCTCCTCCTTCCTGCATTAATTTGTCCTCTTTCCTCCCAGCTACACCCAGCATCTCCCAGGCTCCTGAAACCATCTCGCGCACCCGCGCCAGCACAGCCCGGTTTGTGTGCAAGGCAGAGGGGGAGCCAGCCCCAACCATCCAGTGGCTGAAGAACGGGGAGACCATCCTCTCCAACGGGCGGGTGAAGGTGCAGAGCAGCGGGAGCCTTGTCATCAATCAGATCGGGCTGGAGGATGCTGGCTACTACCAGTGCGTGGCTGAGAACAGCCTGGGCATGGCTTGTGCCACTGCCAAGCTCTCGGTGATCGTGCGGGAGGGTTTGCCCAGCGCTCCCAAGAAGGTGTCAGCCGTGTCCCTCTCCAGCACCACAGTCCTTGTGTCCTGGGAGCGGCCAGAGTACAACAGCGAGCAGATCATCGGCTTCTCCTTACATTACCAGCGGGCTGTGGGTAGGTGTTTCCTGCCCCTGCAACACAGCTGTGTTGCAGCTACAAGACACAAAACACGGGTTGATTTTTCTTTCCCAGCTAGTGACAAGAGTGAAGCAATTCCAGTCTGTGTAGCCCTCTTCGTTGTGGGTAAAGGGATTTTCTCTTGGAGTCAGTGTCAGCCTGTGACAGTGCCTGTGGATTAGCCAACATATATTAACTTGTTGACCAGCAGCAGCATATCCATGTAGCTGAGCTGTCTGGATTCTAGTGAGACCAGGCACTTCTGGAAACTTCTGTCGTTTACTTTTTCCTCCAACATATTGCTTTTATATGCAAAGGGTGTGATTATTAATTGAGATATTAAATAGCTACATTGTGTACAGGGGTAATCACTAACTCATTTACACCCAGAATCTGAGGTGAGGCACTTGGGTCTCTTGGGGTCTGTCTTCCCAAGCAGCCAGCAAGCCAATACTCTTGCTGAACTGTTGCCAGAGCTCCTTTGAAAATTAAGCTGGTAACATCAGCTGCCTTAGCATGGATTAAGGAACTTGAGGTGAAAAGGAGATGTTAACATAGAAGCATTGAATGTTTCTGCCTGAAGAATGCACATAAATGGGGTTTGTGCAGTTACTGGGGGAACTGGAGAAGTGATTGTTAAGGTGGATCTCCACTGTGGACCTTGTGATGGAAGTGATTTTTCAAGGAGTGTCTTGCCAGCTCACTGACCTGCTGATCGGTGTTGCCTTTGCTCTAGGAACAGATAACGTGGAATACCAGTTTGCTGTCAATAATGATACCACTGAGCTGCAGGTGAAGGACCTAGAACCCAATACCAACTACGTCTTCTACGTGGTCGCGTATTCTCAGCTCGGCGCCAGCCGGACGTCCTCTTCCATCATTGTTCAGACCCTGGAGGATGGTGCGTTCAATTACATGGGTACTGGTGCCTAGAAAATGTTCTTGGCCTGTTTCATGGTGAGCATTGGGTATGCTATGGAAAATAGTGTCAGCTTCTAGACACCTAAACTTGCTTGCTGCTCCTTTAAAAACAACCCCAAACAACAAAACAAACCTCCCAAAACTAAAGCACTCTGGTTTGATCATCAGCTTGGGTGATGAAGAGCATGAAAATGACCTAGCTGACAGCATGGCCCATGAGAATCCTTCAGGAACTACAGTCAGCTCCTCTGGGCTTTCATCTAGCTAATGCAGTATTGCTCCAAACTTGACTCTGGGCCAGACTTGATTTCAACTTGGAAGAAAGACATCTATTGCAATTTGTAGGGGTGGGAGCAGCCTTGAGGTTGGATTCCTTAAGAGCCAGTAGTTTGTGTTGATTTTACCACTTATCATGTAGCATTTTGCAAGCAGTAAGGGCAGAGTGCCAGAAGGAGAGCAGCCCAGCAGGAGAGGACATGTACAGCTTTCAACAGACTGCAGGACAGAGGCAAGAAGTGATGGTTTTGGCAGACCTCATGCAAGCCCCTGCTATGCTGCAGGGTCCATTATGTGGTTTTAATACTCCTGACAGCGAACTGCGTGGTCCCACATGTATGTGTCTGAAGCCTGAAAAGCTGAGTTGAAAGCAGGAAAGCTGCTTGCAGCACAGAGCTGTGATTCTTGAGGGAATGGGGATTCCCAGGCTGAAGTCTGGATCTGTGAGCCATTTCCGTCAGTGTCTCCTTCCTGCTCCATAGGCTGATTAGCTGGTCTGTGCTAGCTTGCCCAGTTTGCAGTGCACATGGGGTCCCTGGGGAGCAGTGATCAGCCTGTTGAAGCTGAGCAGCCCATCTCCCCTCCCCAGACACCACACTGGTGCGCTGAGCTGTTGAAGAGCTGGGGGTATTGGTTCCCCGTGGGCCAGAGAACATGTCACCAGTGGCTGTGGCAGGGCCAGGACCAGGTAGTGGCCTCCAGCCAGCTCCAAGAGGTGGCAGAGATGTGTTGAGGTCTTGCCCTGGGCTTTCCTGACTTCTCCTTGTCGTTTCTACCCAGTTCCTAGTGCTGCCCCTCAGCTGTCCCTGTCGAGCATGACTCCTGGTGACATCCGTGTGACATGGCTGCCTCCCCCTCCAGAGCTGAGTAATGGCAAGATAACCAAGTACAAGATAGACTACTGCACCCTCAAGGAAGGTGAGGAAAACACTGTTCAGGGGTTGTGGATTCTGCTCCAGCAGAGCAGTCTTAACGTTTGAGGGGAGGAGGGACAGAAGGACCCCTTCTTAACCAAGGGAGGACAACACCCCTTGTAGCCTGGCTCTGCTGGTGGTGGTCACAGCAGTGCTGGTGCTGTGCTACTTCACCCTGCTTTGAGGTGCCTTCTGTGATCATGGAGGAGCCTGGGTCATCAGGGGAACGGCCTGGGCCTGGTGCTTGTGTGTTTGTGCTGCCCCATGAATGTCTGCATAAGCAAACCTTTGGTGGCATCAGCACTGTGTGTTCTGGGGGAAGAGCTTTGTGCTGGTTGGGGAAGAAGGGTAAATGCATTTTATTCCTTTAAAGTGGAGTCTAATCAAAGTGACCCTTGTGGGGGCAAAAAAGCAAATATCCTGGCTAGGCTGTGTTGTTCTGTTGTTGAGTTTTATCTGGGTTTATTTATATTGTCAGATGCTCTAAGAAGCCTTCAGCAGGGATGGTAGTGTTTACCTGTGCTGGATGTGGCTGTTCCAATTCCATGTGGGCTTGCTTTGCAAATTCTTCTGGGTATTTGCTCTTAAAACTGTCAAAGCTCTGCAGCTTCTCACTTCCCAGGGTCATGATTCTTACCAAGAGAAGGGTGGGGAGTGTGATGAAGTGCTGGACATGCTCCCATGTGTTTGATCTGGATTTGTAGTCTGTGCTATGACTCCTGGCTCTTAGATTTTCATTCTGAGCCTGCCTGTGGCTCTGTGGCGTCGTAAAACCTTGGAAATGTGTGCAATCCAGGGATCACACTCATCAGTATGCTGTTGCATAGCAGGGACAGTGCTCCCAGCTGACTTTACAACAGGTGAAGCTGAAAAGCAAGACCTTTGCATTCACCAAACAGGCAATATGAATCTTCAGCAAGACCCATGAGTTGCTACGGTGAAAATCTCAAGCCATCTCAGTTTAAATTTCCTGTTATCTGCCTTATGAACTTGGGTGGGCTGAAGAGGGAGATGCAAAACCTCAGCCTGGCCTGAGTGGAGGTGTGAATTTTTCAGAGAGCAAGATTGCTGGACAGTTCTGGTTCAAATTAAGGTGAGGATTTTAATACAGCAGTGAGAAGCAGTGGAATGTACCATTGGCATACACATGTTCTGCCATCACAGCAGCAGCAGCAAGGTTTCTGACAGCTCCCCTCCAGGCAGGCTCAGTGGTGCTGAAGGCAATGTGTAGATCTGAATGTGATGAAGGGAGTTGTCAGTCAGGGTATCAGCTCTGCCCAGCCTTCAGTTCTAGTTTTTCTTGGTGGCATGAGATATTACACAGGGCAAAGCCAGCCCAAAGCGTGCAGGCCATGTGGGGGTAGCTGGGCTTTGTGGCTTCTCAGCTCAATTTCCTTTTGACTGGGAAACCCATGTTTCCAATGGTGTCCCCTTGGTTCCAGCAGATCAGGTAACCTCCATTGAAGTGGGTGGAAATGAGACACAAATCACTCTCTACTCGCTCCATCCCAACAAAGTGTACAAGGTGCGCATCGCGGCCAGCACCAGCGTGGGCTACGGGGCCCCTTCCGAGTGGACCCAGCACCGGACTCCTGACAGAGACAACCAGACGCATGGTAGGAGGCTGGGTAGTGCCTGGGGTTTGGGGCAGGGTGTGCAGGACACTGGGGAACTGAGGCATAATCAGAGATACTTGCTTTCATTAGGGAATTACAAGCACTGGTTTTGGTTAGACCAAAGCACCCACCTTTATCTTTCTGTTCGTTAGCCCCTGCACGTCCTTCCTCCCTCCATGTGCAGCTGTGAAAATTCTTAAGAAATGAAAAGTAAACCCCCCAAACCCCAATGTTATGACATTTGGGAGTGAACAGACAATTCTGCCAAGCAGAGTTGAGCCCAAGCCAGATTCCAGCAGTGGTTAAAGATGGTGGCAACTCAGAATGCATTGAGAAACTCCCATAGTGGCTTTGTGACATTGTTCTTTCCTGCATCACCCAGAAGTCAACAGTAAAGCATAACTGTTCCAGTCTCCTCTGTCAGACAGTGGAGACATCCAGCTCATGGGACAGCCTTTCCTCACCACCAAGGACAGGAAGGATTCAGTGGAGCAGGGGAATGGAGACGAGTGGCTGAACATTTTTCTCTTGTCTTCTTCTTCTTCTAGTTCCATTTGCCCCGACAGAATTAAAAGTCCGAGCGAAGATGGAGTCTCTGCTGATAACGTGGCAGCCCCCAGCCAACCATGCCCAGATATCTGGCTACAAGCTCTACTACCGGGAAGTGGGCCCAGAGGAGTCCAGCGATGAAAGCCCTTTGGATGGTGCTGAGGATGAGAGCTGGGATGTAGGACCGATAAAACTAAAGAAGAAAGTGAAGCAGTACGAGCTGACTCGACTAGGTTAGCTGCTTCCATCCCTTAGTAGTCAGTGTGGAAACCCAGGGTCTGTCTTGCACTTCATAGCAGTCCCTTGAGATGCTTCCAAGAGTTGTCTGCTTGGCTGCAAACACATAGGACCATGAGAGCTGTTTTAAGAGCCCCCAGAATCATTTCTGGCAGGGGGTGTTTGGGGCTTGTTCTGAGCAAAGTTTAAAACACAGACGTTTCTGATGCCAGTGTAGCAGGGATTGTATTTTTAACCAAGGGCTACTAATACACTTAGTATACACTAATAAATGGATCTGAATCAATTAGTGTTTTTATTGTGTTGCCATAAAGAGTGCCTAGATTAAAATCTCCAGTCAGGACAATGATCTCTCCTTCTCTGTGTATTCCAAAGAAGCTCCATAATTGCATGCTGTTTGAAACCTCTCTGTATTAAAATGCAGAGATGGGTTAATTCACAGCATACTAATTTGGGATCAGTATTCTCCTCCACCTCCCCCTAAAGGAAAAGGGATAGATTAGTGAGTGTCCATGGCTGGAGAAGAGTCTGCACCACAGTCAGATCTGCCTGCCTGGCTAACTGTGCTTGGCAATTCCCGTAAGGAGTTAATGCTTCTAATGTCTGATCATACTAATTAGTTGATTTGCTCATGGATACAGGATGGAGAGAGAGGACAGTCATGGCAGATCCTTGAAACAGGATTCTACTTCTTAGAGTCCTTCCATCCCTCACTTCATGCTTCATCCCTTTTACTGCCCAGTGAGCTGAGACTGCAGGGCTGGTGTTTCTCGTGCTGGTTCATCTTGTACATCCCGCATGTGTATTATACATGGTGTAAAAGTCAGGCTGCAGCACCTGGAAAGACAGTTTGTGTCATCGCTAAGTAGGTTTCCAGCTATGTGCAGCCATCCTGCCACTGAGAGAGTGTTAACAGTTATGAGTTTCTCTGAAGAATTTAGGTCTGTAATTATTGCACTGAGGAAACCACATGTGAACATCATCACGCTGCTCTAACCACTGGCAAGTCAGTTAGCAGAGGGACTCGGGAATGGGCTGAATTGATTCCAAATGCTCTGGCATGATGATGCTGAGAAGGCTGCTTGTTCTTCTGTAATTACTTCCTTAAATTTGGGCATCCGTCAAGCCCTAATGGCTTCCTTATGATTTTGGTGGTTGTGGATCAGCTATCATTGTGTCAGGAAGAGAGTCTCAGGTTTCTTCAAGCCATGGATTTTCTCTTTTTCTCTCCCTTGCACTGTTGAATGATGTGCTCTTGCATGTGTACAGTAAAGGAAGGGATCAAGAATCTGGCTGTGCTAAGAAAGGCAGGGATCTGGACAAGAAACAAGGATGGGGAGTGGTTGGGATTTAGAAGGGTTTAGTTTTATGATGGGGAGCTACTCTGCACAGGTAGTTACATCTGCATTGGGTGTCTTGTAGGCAGAGTGGGTAGCAGTCTCAGGAGAGGATGGCAGCCCTAACGTGGTCTATGCTGGGGCACACTGGCTGATGAGGACTCAGCTGGGGGGATTTCCCAGTTCAGGGGTGTCTGAGTCCAACTCTGATCGCTGCAGGACTGACCAGAAGTTAAAGCAAGTTCTTAAGGGCATTGTCCAAATGCCTCTTAACAGTGACAGACCTGGGGCATTGAACACCTCTCTGGGAAGCCTGTTCCAGTGTTTGAAATGGTGTCAGGAAATCCCAGGGTTAGGCACTGGGAATACAAAGCTGTAGCTGAGGCGTGGTTGCATACCATGTCAGTGCAAACAAGGTCCGGCTTCAGGCAGAGGTGGATGGGTGTGCAGAAAGCTTCCTGAGCACAGTTACTCTTTATTCACAGCGGCAGCACAACTATTACACCAGCAAAGATCCCTGCCCATGTTTCCCTCCCCAAGTTTCCTGTACCATTAAGCAGTGTTTTAGGTTCCTTGTGCTGGTCCTGTGCAAGATTCTTGTTTTGTCTTCTCTTGCGCTGGCTGGTCCTGCTGTCATGGTGCCAGCTTTGTCCATCACCTCTTCTCTTATCCCACAGACATCCTCATCTTTTGCCTCAACCCCAACATCTGGCTTCTTGATTTTGCCTTTGGTAATGACTCTGCTCTCTCCATTTAAGCTGAAATAAGAGAAGATTTTTCTCCCATGCTCATGCAAACCTCTGGAGCAAATCATGTCTCCTTAGAGTGGTATCTCTAATGACATGTATCTTTTCTGAGAGGAATGAGCTGAAATCCTGTGACAGAGGAGGGCAGCTGTTCGGAGGCACAGAAAACATACAGCAATTTCATGAGCCCACAAAATCAAAAGGAGCTGTCCTGAATCACCAGGAGGGTTTTTCCCTGAGGAATTCCCATCGATTTCCATGTTCTAGCAGTTCGTCTCTGTACAGGTGTGCAACTACCAGGGCCATAATTTACAGGAAAAATAAACAGTAAGGATGTGATCCTCTCTTCCACATTTCTATGATGGAAGATTGCATTCCTCCGGGAATGACTCTCTGGAGATCAGGGTATTTTCCCACTTAGAGGAAAGTATGGCATATGGCATCTGGCCAATATGAACACCTTGAAAAACTGATTGAAACAACATATTTAGCATATTGGGTATATTATGCAGTCATCCAGATTAGTGATTTGAAATGATCTGGACTAGATTATTCTGCTTATATTTAATGTATGATGGAATGCAGTGAAATACATCTGTTCTCATGCTGCCTACTAGCTTCTTGACAGCTTGATAGAGCTTTATGTCCGCATGTTCTAAGAGCTTGAACATCTGGGTCTATGTATAAAACTTGAAGCCAAGCCTCTGACTGAGAAATCCAAAATACCCTTATTTTTGGAAAGTGAATTGCTTGATCTTGTAGTAGAGCTCCCCTGGCTCCACATATAAGTGGCTGCTGTAGTGATCCTACCTGGGGATGGAGATGGAAAGCTTGTCCTTTCCTTCACTTCTCCAATAGGAGCTGCCCACAGCTGCATCACATCTGTGAGCTCTTCCTCATCGTTTTGGAACACATCATCCACGCTGAGCTCGTGTCCCAGCTAAATCCTCAGGCAGGAAGCAGAGTGCATGTGCTGGTGAGGGACAGGCTGTGGGGTCCTTTATTCCACCAAGCCCATGGTCCCAGTGTTTGGACATTGAGTGCCCTTTGGTCTCATCCCCCTTGTGTGGGTTCGAAACGTTTTCCTGTGGCTGGGGAGTGTGAAAATGCAGATCAGGCACCTTGGGGGCAGACAAAGCTCTGTTTGCTTTTGGGATTCTTTTGGAGAGAAAAACGTGGCTGAACTGTTTTTGTATTCTGAGTGTGACCATGTGTTGTGGAGCCTTTGGTAATTGGTACCATTAGCCTCTGGGAGCGTAATCAGCACAGTCCTGATAAAATTGGCATCAAATAAGGAAGGTTTTATTCTGCTTACGTTGTCTGGCAAAGGGAGCAGTGATCTGTCAGGGCAGGGAATGAACAGGCATATCCCAAATTAACCAACTTCATCAATGCACTGCAGTCAGAGACAATCTGGACTGGTCTTGCTGAGCTTCTGAATGGGCTGGCTGCTGAAGGGAGGAGTTGGCAAGTGTCTTATTTGAGAACTCTGTATATCCCAAGTTGTTTCCTTGAGTAAACATCTCCCTTAAAACCCCCTCAGATGTTGCTTAACACAGCAGAGGAGTGTTTCAGCTGATGAAAGGCCAGTGGAAAGAGATAAATGAATTTTGGACCAGGCAGCACTGCTTGGAGATAGAGCACCCTGTCCTGGTGCTCAGTTTGGGTCCAAACTTGAGGTTCCCCCCAGAGTGCATGGTTATCTGATGGGAAGAGTGTGTAATGAGCAGCCTCAGGTTTCTGGTGTGGGTTTTCTGTGCACTGTTGCTTTTCTCAATCAAGAGACTCTGCTGTGGAGGCCAAATAGTCACCAACAAAAGCTGCCAGTGAGTTAACAGGGTGTGGGGGGACTTGCTGGCAGGAAAATCCTCACAGCAGTGAACACATCAGAGAGGACTTTAGAAATGGGAGGTGCATTTTGGAGAGATGTCCTCACTCCTCATGAATAAACAGTGCAGTGCATCCATTTCCATGGGCGAGTGGGGAGTCACTGTGCATAGGTCTCTTCAGTAGTTTGCAAGGGAGAAAGCTCAGGAGATCCAGAGATGATGTACCACAGGTCAGGACACTCGTTAACCCTCGGTGGCTGGGGCAAGGCCACTTGCTGCTGCTAATTTCTGTGAAAAGTGAGGGGAGAACTAGAGAGTAGCTGTGATGGTTCGTGCACCAGTTGAGAGACAGTGTTGAATGTGAAAGCCTCTGAGTAGAAGGGGGACTCCTGCTGTATTGTAGCAAATACACCTCTGTTCAAGCTACCGTCGTGGATGGTGGGAAAAGCCAGTCAGGTCAAAGCAAACACGTCTAACTGGGAGGGTTGGTAACAAAAATAACCCCAGACAAACCCTGATTGATTTTTCCAGCTCCTGGGAGACTCTATGAGGTGAAGCTGGTGGCATTCAATAAGCACGAAGATGGTTATGCAGCAGTTTGGAAGGGCAAAACAGAAAAGGCACCTGCAGCAGCAGTAGGTGAGGAACACCCTTCATTTGTGGTCTGTCTCTTCTGCTTGGCATGTGGCTTCAAAGCAAGGGTAGAGGTGAAGTTACAAGAAGATGAACTTCAAGAAGGACCAAAATGGGGAAGGTTCCAGTGTAAGGGAACTTCCTTTGACAGTCATTGCAGATTGTTTTGGAGGAATTACCTTGGGAAGGAGAGAAAGGAGCAAAATATCTCTCTTGTCATTAAGGATGTTCTTATACTGGGTGTGGGTGGCCTGTGTCCATGATGACTGTCACTTGCCTTTCTATCATGTATGTCTCCACATCTCGTTTTCTCTTTTTGTCTTGCACCACAGATCCCCCTGTGCAGAAGGGTCCTCCACTGCCTCCAGTCCAAGTCTATGCAGAGTCCAACAGCTCAACCTCCATATGGCTCAGGTGGAAGAAACCTGACTTCACAACAGTCAAAATTGTCAACTACACCGTGCGCTTCAGCCCCTGGGGCCTGAAAAATGCCTCTCTTGTTACCTACTACACGAGGTAAAGAGGGTTCATCTGCCATATATTGCTCATGTCAGGGGTAATCACAGGGCAGGAGGAACCTGCATGGAAGTTCAAGTACTGAGCAAAACCCTGGGAGTTTCACCTGCTGGAAAGATCTGCCTTGGTCACAGATACATTCAGAACTGCTGAAATGTGGCAATAGGACTTGTCTGTGACTTGAATACTAAGGGATCATTTAGTGGCTGGTCTCTGCATCTTTTCTGCTCTTGTTTGACCTTACGTGCTTGTTTCCCTGTTAATAACATGGCCAAGTGCAATTGTGGCCAGTCTCAAGCATTCATGTGAGATGGTCCTCACAAGTTTGGTTTAAAAATCACTTAGAGTTTAAGCAGTTTCGGGATGTGTTTTTTAAGTCCGGATTCCTGTGCAGGTTTTCAGCCTAAACCCAGGCTGTTTTCAAGCTTTTCTTTGGGGGCTGGGAACCTGCTTTGCTCTGTGGCTGGGAGCTGAGTGCTCTTGCATTCACATGACTGCAGGAGATGAAGCTTTAGGTGAAAAATCAGATACTGTAAGAGTTAGGATAATCCCTTACAGTATTCCTGGTAAGGTATCAAGGTGACAGTGGGTGGGAGAACCATCTAATGTTCATGGCCTGGTGAATGTGTCCTCTTGGCAGCTCGGATGAAGACATTCTCATCAGTGGGTTGAAGCCCTACACCAGGTATGAGTTTGCTGTGCAGTCCAATGGTGTTGGCATCGATGGGCCCTTCGGCAGCGTGGTGGAGCGGTTCCCCCTGCCCGACCGTGGGGGTTTGTGGGAACTGAATCCTGATTTCTCCTGGGTTTCCCTGAATCTCTGTCAAATTCCTCCTAATGTGTGATGCTGAGAACCTCTAAGCATCCTGGTAGCTTTCCCAAGCCCAGTGAAGGAGTGCTGCTTTGTAAACAGAGGAGCACGTAAAGGGAGTTGGGGCAATGATTGCTGTTACTGTGGGGTTGTCTCTGGGTTCAAAGGGCTGATAGTGCATTGCTTAAGCACTAGGTGCTCCCCAGAGCTGAATGTCACTGTGAGAACAAGAGTGCCTTGCCCAGCCTGGTGTTCCAGTAGGATCTCCACCTCTTAGCTTCAGGCCTGGTGAAGGCTGGGAGCAGAGATGATCCCAGGAGCATCAGTGGGTTAGCTCCTTACTCTGTGACAGCTTCTCTGGTATTCAGCTTCACAGAGCAGCAGTGATAGCCTTTGGAGTTGGTGTGTGTCCTGCCTCTAGCTGGGACTAGATGCTGTCCCAGGAAGATGGTGAAGGAAGCAACAAGGAGCAAGGATGTGCTGGGAATAGTCTCTCAAGCAGTGTTGCACAGCCTCAAACTCAGCTGTGTGGCTTCATCAGCACTATCATGTTTCCCTTGCCTGGTTGGCTGTGATGCACAAGTCCTGCCCTGTGTTGGGCTCAGAAGCCTCCTCTCCATGCTCTTCACAGCTTTTTTGGGTCAGGTGTCTGGTCACCCAGGTTGCTCATCATTACCTGCTTGCAAACATGGCTGTGGAACCACTGAGAAAAGACACGGAGCAGTTGCCATGCCCTGCACGTTTAATGCTCTCCTGTTTTCTGCTGTTCACACTGGATCTTGTCTCTGCCAGGTCCCTCGACTCCCCCATCTGACCTGCGGCTGCACCCGCTCAACCCCTATGCTGTGCAGGTGCACTGGTGCCCCCCTGTTGAGCCCAACGGCATCATTGTGGAGTACCTCATCCTCTATAACGCCAACAACACGCAGCCGGATGACATGTGGACCTTGCTGACACGAGAAGGTGAGCCTTCTCGAGGTGCTGAGCCACCCCACCAGGTCCTGGAGTATATGCTGGGCCTTGCTCCTGGTCATATGGGAGAGTCCATGAGCACAAATACTGAGAGGCTTGAAATCATACATGTTTAAAGCTGGAATAGCCATTATTATCCAGCAAAGGTCCTGCAGTTACAGGCTGGCAGGCAGTAATTCCTAGGAGAGCATATGCCAGCAGCACCACATGCAGTCTGTATCATCAGCTCTTTAAGCAGCAAGTTCATTAATACTTAAGAGGTGTATGAATTACCTCTTAGAGCTTATGACACAAAATCCCTCACTTCTGAGGGCCCAACAGAGTTCCACTGCTGCTTTGCTGCAGCCTCTGAATACTCTTGAAACTGCACATTTTAAACCTCTTTTGCCTTGCTTTTGATCAGGAAATATCTTCAGCACTGAAGTGCATGGCCTGGAAAGTGATACCAGATACTTCTTCAAGATGGGAGCAAAGACAGTCGTGGGATCTGGTCCCTACTCAAACGTTAAGGATGTGCACACCCTCCGGGAGAAGCTGTCAGGTACGACTCTCCCCTTTGTTCCAGTGCAGGAAGTGAGTTGTGCTGCTGAACACCACGGTTTGTCAGCAGTGGCATTTCTGTCTGCTGAGCTGATGTTACTGCTCAGGATGTGAGATACGACCACGCGCAAGGCCAGTGCAGAGGATCACGGCAGTGTCCTCAGATGTGCAGCTCCAGAACCCATCCCAGCTCCTGTGCAAGGGCTCATGTAACCTGCATCTTGCTGCCTTTCTGTTAGGCTGTGTTGTATGAAATTAGTGAATGTGCAGAGGTGTCAATTTGCTTGAAGATGCTCTAAATTGTCACTGTCAAGTAATCTTCTTCCTTTATGTGGCATCACATCATGGTTTTAGTGAAGCTGGTGCTTCTCTGAACGTAAAGCACTTTGTACCTTCTTCCTGCTAGCAGCTGAAATGATGTTTCTGTCCTTCCTCTACTAGATATTCTGGATATCCATTCTGTCACAGGAATCATTGTGGGAGTCTGCTTGGGGCTGCTCTGCATCCTCTTCTGCATGTGTGCCAGCTTCCGCAACAGCAAACAGAGGTAGGTGCCACCTCACCTTTGCAGGAGATGAAGAAGGCTGATCTGGAAGAACACAAAGTACAACATGGGCTCCTTCCCTGTGCTCAGCTGGGCTGTTTGGGATGCGGTGTCTGACATGGGTTAATAGATTGAGTGCTGGGAGTGCAGCTGGCTAAGGAACATATTCAGTATAGTCTTTTCACTGATTGATTTTCTCAGTAGTTTCTCTTTAATTTGCATTGTTACACTCACAGGGTTGAGTTTGTTTGGGGGGTTTTTGAGAGAAAGGAAAAAAAAGGGAAAACCCACCTCTTTGCTGGATTGCCTGTGTCTGTTACTGTGGGCAGTATTTTGCTTCTGAGACTGGACAGCTCTAAGGATGTTTGAAAAGGGTTTCTTAACTTCCAGTTGGGAAAATGATGACAGACTTCCCAGTGACTGACAGGCTGGTTTAAGGAGGTTTGGGCTCTTTGGGACAGAGGAAGGCGAGGCTCATGTGAGATGTCAGCTCTTGCTTGTTTTCCCTCAGGGAGGCCTTGCCAGGCCTGGATTCCCAGGCAGCTGGCAACCACACTTACTACCACCGGAGCAGGCAAGGGGTGGCAGCTCCCAGTGCCACCTTGGACTCGCATGAGCTGGAGTCCCTCATGTCCCCACTCCCAGAGGATGCACCCGTGGCCCTGGGGGACATCACAGAACTGACAGAAGTGCACAGCCTCATCCACACGAGCCTCCCTGAGGACATTGTCCATGGGAAGAGGAAGGTAAGGACACGTGTGTGTGCTGACTGGGCTCCCACCCTAGGCAGGACCCTTTGGCATGTCGCTGCTGGGAAGCCAGGGTCTGATTCTGCCCCGGCTCTGCAGAGTGCTGGTGGTCCTGGCTGCAGGCTGGTGCTGGGCAGCCAGGCATTTCCCTCTCTGTAAAACTAGCTCCTCCTTGGCTGTCAGATCTGAGTTGGGGATCCCAGTGCCATCTCCCATTCCTTGTCATCTCCTGGGAGACTGACCCCTCATTCCCAGAGAAGCAGCTACCAAGCTCACTGCTGCAGAAAGCTGCCCTCTTCCTGTGTGATGTCTGCAGTAGATGCTCTGCCTTCCAGGATGCTCTTTCAATTAGAGTAAAAGGAGCTTTGTCCGTAAATAGCATATTTACTGGAACAGCCTTGAAGATATGCAGGAGATGAAACTGTTTTATTTGTGAACCTTACTTTTTGAAGCAGTCTTTTCCTGCCCTGCGTGGTTTGCCTGACATTGCGTTGTCTTTCATTCCTGCCTGCCCATTTCCCCTCTCAAGCTTGCCTGAAACATTTCATTCCATTAGGGAACCTTTAATTGGCCTAATTTAGTTAATCTGTTTATGTCTCTCTTCGTAGCCCAGGGAGAGCATGTAAAGTAATTAGGAGGTTCAGTAAAACAACTGCATTGTGAGCACATGGGATTTCATGGTTGCTTCAATGATGCGCTTGTGTGTCTCTGGGGGGAAGGTGAGTTCATGATACCTGGCTAAGGCAAGAGCCAGCCTGGCTGCTGGTGGTGGTGCAGGGATGGTCTTTCGGAAACACAACATCATCTGCTGGCTTTAGCAGTCCTGTGAGCTGAAGCCACACTCTTGGCCACCCCCAAGTGCTGCAGCAGATCAGTGCTCAGCTGAAGGGGAGGCACTCTGCAGCCAAACTGCATCCATGGAGTTCACTGGAATGAAGCTGGCTGGCTGGACCCAAGCCGAAGAGTGTGAGGAATTTCCTACAGCTCTTGCTGTTAAATAAGGACCAAATGTTTTCAGGGATGGTGACTTACCCTGAGAACAGGTCAGGGTGGGGGGAAGTTCCCTCCCTTGGGAGGCCTTTCTGGGGGCAGCACACCCAGATCTCTTTTCCAGAGCAGCAATCCCGTCTGCCAAGGTTTACACCAAGGTTTTCATGCGTGTGGAGCAGGGGCTGGAGAGGGCAGTGACATGGTCTGGCCACTCAGGGCTTAGCCCGAGAGCTTGGGGACCCCAGCGTCTGTCACAGAGGCAGCCAGTGTCCAGCAGTGTCCAGTTCCGAGATCAGACCTTTGGGGAGAGGGACAAAAGAGTCCCTGCCCCCAAAATTAGATGGGGAAAGGCCATTGAGAGTTAAATCCTCTGAGGATTTAAATCCTCTGCTTTTGCCAGCAGAATAAGGAGCTTGTTTTTTTGATGGATGTGGATAGGGAAGCAAGGATCACTGAGGAGCAGCCACCCAGAGAGCAGCGCTGTCACCCGTGCTGACCGGTGAGGATGACCTCGCAGGTGAGGAAGAGCTCGAGTGGCCGGGAGCAACAGGCTGTTGTTCTGGGAGCGGGCACTGGAGGGAGATGTGCTCCCGTGCGGGCGGCCCCGCTCCCTCCACTGCCCAGTTCTGCTGGAAGTGCCACCGGAGCCAGCCCTGAGCACCGCTGCAGCTCTCGTGAGCGTAGCCAGACCGGTGCTCACATGCCCGTTCCTCACAGCAGATATAAATCAGGCAGGAGCAGTTGTGAGTGTGGGAATGAGAAATGTCTCAGGGATCCCTTTTATTTAACACTGTATCATGTCACCACAGAGCTCAGGCTGTTGGCTGGGACAGACTCTTGGTCGGATGCTGCTGCTGCACAGGTTTGTGTAGATGTGATGCCAAGGAACTGGCGGCTCCAGGCCTGAGTGACCTCCAGTTGCCTGCTTGACTCTCCATCCTCAAGTTACACTCCTGAAACTTGGTTTGTGTTGGTTGGGTGTCACTTGCCATTAGCAGTGACACCGATAGCTGCTCCTGTGCTTGTTGGGTTGATACTTAACATCGCATGGATTATTCTTACTGGTTTTATTTCTGTGGCAGCCCCGTGTTCCGGTGGAGACCGAGGCTGTGTTAGGAGATGTACAAACCCAAAGAAGGGACTGTTCCTGTGCCATGAGCGGTCAGAAGTGAGTGAATGTCACGTTGCAGGTGTAGGGGCTGGAGAACAGTGAGACCAAGAGCAGAAAGTCTTTAACAACAGTGAGATTTGAACTGACTCCTGCAAAGCCTCACAGACAAGGGTTTTGGGAAGTCCCCTTGGTTGTTTTCAAGTCAAGATCCCCAGTTCCCTCACAGGGCTGCGAGTCCTCTATCTTATAGATAATACTGGGGGTGCAGGATGGTGCAAGGGGAAGGTGGGATGGTCTTCGGGCTGCTGGACAGCCCACCAGAGCCACCCTGCCCCTGCTTGCAGGACAGCAAGGCGCTACTGCAGCCAGGCTGTGGGCACAGAGCCCCTCAGGATGGCTGAGCGGGAGCATGCTCGGCCATTTAATAGTCCCTTTTCCTTCCTTTCTGTGTGCTTCCCAGTGGTCACACACAAGGATTTGTAAATACACTGACAAGTGATTTCCCTCTCTGACTCTTTGCCTTTCAAGTGACCCCCAGACCGATGCCCCCTGTACCAGCGTTATAAATGACACCATAATGCACAGGCTGTGGGGCTGCAGCTCTGTTCCCCCTGACAGATGGGCTGAGGATGATAGAATGGCTGTGCTCCAGACAGCCCTGTCACTGCTGCTTTTGGGCCAAGCAATTTAGGGGGTGGGGGAGAATGTTAAAAAGCATCTGCTTTCCATGGAAGACTTCAGCTTTTCATTGAATGAAGCCAAACCCAAGTGTTTTGGCTTGGAGATATTTGCTGTTGTGCTTCTTGCGAGCTGGAACCTTCCTTGCTTGCTGCCCTGCTCCTTCCCTGGGGGACTCCCCCATGAAGCATCCCCGTGACTCGGAGAGCAAAAGCTGTAACACATCAGGGAACTTGGATCTACCCGGGTTGTTTGTCATTTTCGTGTTGAAGTTTTTCTGTATGGAAAACAAACCCTGATGCTTTCTGCCGTTCAGCAATAAATCCTCTCTCTCTGCTATGACAGCAAAAGCTGGGCACATCTGAAATGTCCCCAGCCTTGTTTTGCACAGGGTTTCAAGCTTGTTTAAATAATCCTTGTAAATCAGGGAAGGTTTCAAGATCAGCATTTCCTACATGTTCATTCTCAACTCATATATTTGCTTTAAATCATTACTGGTCACTGGAAAGGTAACGTTATTGAGTCACAGTTTTACCAGTCCGAGTTACTATAAAAAGGCTAAAATGAAAAGGCTTGTTTGCTTTGGTAAGGATTTAGCTGTAATGGAAACACCTTCTATTGGAAGATGTTTTTATTAGTTTTCATTCTTGGGTTTGCAATGAACTGACAAAGCCATTTTTCCATCTTGAAATCAGAATTAGACTGACACTCGTTGCCTTTGTTATTCTATTGTAAAGTCCAAGAGAACTTTTCCTTCCTTCAGCCATTCACTAGCCCCCCTCGAGAAGGAATAAATAGTATTATTTGTTACACCAAAGGCTACTGCTCAAAAAGCAGAGAAGCTTTTGGGCTCACAAGACCTTGTGCAGGTCTGCGATGAAAACAGACCTAGAGTTAATTGCTGCTGCCCAACCTTAGAGACTGAGCCCCAAGAGGGATTTTTTTCCCCCCCTCTCACACACAACGTGCTTGAACAACATGTGGGATCCAGGCCATGTTGTGTGGCTGATGGTTTTTTTCTGTTTGTTGAAAGTTGCAAACTGGTACAAAACAAGTTTGTTCTTCGTTGCAGCCAATTTCAGCCGGAGCTGAACAGGCTGTTCCCAGAGTCATCAAAACCTATGTAAACATGGCAGATTGACATTTCCGCTAACAGATGGTCCATGGGGGATTGCAGTAGAGCTGCCTGTTTCTTTCCACGTTTTTTGGTATTCACAAGATGCCTGCAAGAAGGTTTTCGAGTTTGCTCTCTGTATGTGTGTGTGCGTGCATATGATGCTCAGCTCTTTCTGATGGCAAATATGCATGTAAGCATCTATAATAGGACACACATTTGTGTGCATGTGTGCATATTTGTGTAGGTTCAACGCTGAAACTTCCAGGCAGTATTTGCTCAGTAACGTATGTTCCTTGGAAAAGGCACAGAAGCCATCAGTCGGTGATGGAGCTGCAGAAAGCCTCTCAGATGGCAGCAGAGGCAAATTGAACATGTTCTTTGAGCACTTGCATGTAGTGATATTCCTTGTAGTGAGCTGTGTGTGACTGCTTGGTTGATTTCTTGCTATTAAAGTGTAGTTTAATGATTGTCCACTTAGAAAAGCAGCGATTAGGGAATGCTCTTGGCTCAGAATATATTGTTGAGGATTGCGGAGAGAGGAATGGCAAAGACACTGCCTCCAGCATCCACTTTGAATTAGCTAATGTGTGATATCCACAGTGCTTTGGACATCACTGTTCTGCAGGGTGCAGTCATTAAGGTTTGATCCTGAAGCAGCAGCAAAGCTCCTATGACTTGGGGTTGGTGCTGGGATGTGATGCTGCTTTGCCTCCCACAAGGTGTTGAGCCCCTTTGGTGCTTGAGTCAGGGTGGACAGAGTGCTCAGGCACCCATCCGTGAGCCCTTTAATGCGCCTTCTGCCAGCACCAGCAGCACGAGGTAGCATTTGCTTCTTGCTAAATAGCTGACTTAGGAATGCCTGGCTCTCACACAACATCTGCTCATGTATTTCTACCTAATTTCCAGCCAGATGGACCGAGGCACAAGGAGGTCAAATGACTCACCCAAGGTCAGGCTGATGTCAGAAATCTCCTTGCCATCTCAGCTGGACTTGTGCTACGTTGGCTGTTGGTGGAATAGATCTGGACTAAGTAGCAGCCACATATGCAGAGCAGAAACCGGAGTTTCTCCTGCCTGACAGTGAGCAATAGGTGGTCAGTGGGTTGAATAGATGTGCAGTGGATCTTCACCCTGCACAGCCATCGTGCTGTGTTCTGTCTGCAGGTGCACACTCACAGTTGTGTCAGGATTTTCTCTTCACTTCAGCCTTGCATCAGCCTCTCACTTCTATCCAGGCAACATGTAACATCTGTGCAATGAGCCTAGAGATAACTGGTCCTTAAATCTGAGTGTGCGTGTGTGTGTGTGTGTGAGTCAATAGCAAGGCTGAGCTCAGGTATCTGCAGGACAGCCCAATAAAATCAAAACCTGGAAAGAAAATGCTTTTCTGCCTGTGAACTAATAGTCTGAGCTGTTAAATAACTTCAGCTCTTAAAGGCCCACATTTCCCATACACAGAGGTGTGCATTCAACAGTTTATTGCAAGGGGAAGCTGAGAGAACCCAGAACAAATTGCGTTCAGCCCATATAATTTAATTAGATCTACAAACAAGGTAACACTGGTTGCCCAGGGGATTTAAAGCTGAGCTAAGAATTGCTTGGTGGTCTGCTGCAAAAAAAGAATAATTAAATAATTAAATAAAATAAGGCCCCAATGTTGTGCCTCTGTGTTGGTGGGGAATGGCAGAGTGTTTACCCAAGCCTGGGCTTAAAGCAGGAAATGTGCCTGCTCTGCAGAGCACGCAGTTCAGCATTGTCTTCAGCTCTTACCGAGCACACGTGCCAGTGCACACAGGTGAGGGTCCCTCTCCATGCTCCAGAGCATCACTGGTGCTGAAGCAAATACTGGAATCAGTCAGCTCCAGATTTCCACTGTCCCTGTTCCTCTCCAGCTCTGTGGTATTTTTCAGTAGGTTCATTCTGCTTAGGGTAGTTCACAGCTTTGCAGGGATTTGATTTCGTTGGAGAAGAAAAGGCTTCAGGGAGACCTTATAACACTTTTACAGTACCTAAAGGGGCCAACAAGAAATCTGGAGAGGGACATTTACTAAGGCCTGTAGGGACAGGACAAGGGGAATGGCTTTAACCTGCCAGAGGGGAGACTGAGATGAGCTCTTAGGCAGAAGCTCTTCCCTGTGAGGGTGCTGAGGCGCTGGCACAGGGTGCCCAGAGAAGCTGTGGCTGCCCCATCCCTGGCAGTGTTCAAGGCCAGGTTGGACACAGGGGCTTGGAGCAACCTGCTCTAGTGGAAGGTGTCCCTGCCCGTGGCAAGGGATGGGACTGGATGATCTTAAGGTCCCTTCCAGCACAAACCAGTCTGTGGTTCTTTGATATAACTGTTGGCCTCAAAATTTGAGAACTGGGGGAAGCCCTGTATGTGACCAGTTGTGAACCATCTGGCAACTTCTATCCACTTGCTCTGTATCAGACCATGAAACAGAGTCTGTTCTAGTGGAGCGACCGTGTGAGTCTATCGCGGTGAGCATTTTTATTTTGATGCCATCAGAAGTGTTCTCAGCTTTTAACGTGTGTTTTACCACCATGGTATTTTCCCAACTTGCACTCCCCTTTTCAAGCTGCTGCTTATTTGAAGTTTACAAGGATCAGGATCCATATCTGTGATAACTGAATCTTTTCTCCTCCCACTTTTCTCTGCAGACTTCATGGAATAAATCAGGCAACCAGCCCTGGACCAACAGCATAGCCAGGTATGGGGACACGATCACCAAAGAGCCGCTCTCTGCTGTGAACGGGTCACTGAAGCTCCCCTCCAGTGCTGGACAGAAGCTTTTGCTACAAGCTCTGGTTTATGATGCTGTGATGGTGGGTGTCTTATTGACTTGTCTATTCTGATGGGGTTTTTCCATTTGTGTTCCCAATCTCCCTTTCTCCTTTTTCAGCACAGGAGAAGATGTTTTCTTCTCTAAGCCAGCTTTAGTTGGCTGATCATGGGCTTCTCCTGGCTGTAGGAGTGTACGCCAGTGAGACTAATGGAATCTGAGTAAAAGCCATTTGTTTTATCCAAGCATCATACAAAGCCTCAGCTCTCCCCTGATCTTCTGTCTTGACTCCAGCCAGCCCCTGAGGGCTTGTGCTGTGAGCTTGTTCTTCTGGTGGTGGTCAAGTGGGGTCAGACAGCTCGGGTGCCAGCAGGGCTGTGGCAGTCGCGGTTCCTGAGGTCCCGGGGCCGGGCTCCAGCTTTGAGGCTTTGTTGGGGCCGTGCATCAGGCAGCCCGTGGAGTGAGTGAGGAGCTGCAGTGCACAGCACAGTCATTAAGATCTACAGTGTGCTCGCCTGAAGGAGGGGTGGCAGAGTGTAAGAGGAGTCAAAGATCAAGGGTTGATTTAAACTCCTTCTCCTTCTTCTACTTCACTTGTCTTCTTTAGGTGGGTGCATAGATTGGGAGGAAATCCTCTTTCTGATATTGCTTCATTGGAATAAATACACACTCTCATGTTGGGGAGAGTTTGTACAAGTATCATGGCACGGAGCTGACACTGCTCAGATTGACTCTGGACCAGAAGATTTCTTTGGTTATTGTTTTACAGCCCTTCACCCCAAGCAAATACTTCTAAGTGACCTGCCTGTGTTTCCTTCCTAGATAGTAGTGTGAGAATCAATTACACACAGGATGTAATTAGCATTGTGGATAGAGTTAAGTCAGTGTTTTACAACCCAATTACAGGGCACCGTTTACAGCACAGTTTACCCATCAGAGTTTGTCAACAAAAGGAGAAAAGCGTTAAAATATGTAAATGATGCACAAAGTTGGCTTCAACAGAAAGCGCAGCTCACACGTGGGACATCACTTCCTGACTTTGAATTGTCTCCTTGCCGCTGAATCCCACTCAGCCCAGGATGTGGGCTCTTTGTGAGCTTCCGAAATCATGTGTCTCTTAAACAGGGATTTTGTGTTATGTAGCCAAAATTAAAGCAGGGAAGTGAAGGGAGTCCTGGTGTCTTGTTGTTGGTCTGTGTCGTGAGCTGTCTCAGAAGCCAGTTTCCTAGTGCTGTCCAGTCACCCTCTGGAAATCTGGCCCTTAATATGGAAACAGACTGGAGAGTTTTGAGAACTGTGGTCTTTGACAGAGGCTTGGAGGGATGGTGGCTTCAGCCTGCCAGGAAATGTGGGCAAATCACTCCCTTGGGACTTGCTTCCCCAAATATAGAATAGGAATAATGATCCTGAGGCGATTTGAGGTGCTCCTTAAGACTTCAGCTCTGAGAAACATATCAAGATAATGCTTAAAAGAGGCATGTGTACATCCCATTGCACTCTGTGGGATTAAAAGGGAATACATTTCAGTGCTTGGTTGGGTCACAGCCTCAATTACCTGAATTTCATTTACTTTACCTTCCTTTTATTTACTTATTTATTCCCCGTTTGATAACAGAATGAAGCAAAGAAAAGCCACCCTCCAGCCAACCTCCACCAAGTGGAAGCAGAGGTCATTGTCCATTCTGATTTTTCCGCCTCTGACAGAGACTACAACTCCCAGCTGCACACCCTGGAGAGTGAAGAGGCAGAAACCGAGGACCAAGAGCCTGAAGAGCTCCCCTCTGGAGAGGTGGCTCTTCCCAGCTCTCCCGGCACCCAGCAGGACACCAGGCAAGTGGTGGTGGACTGCGCGGGCAGTTCAGAGGTCCAGGCCGAGGACGAGCAGTTATGTACCGACAGAAAGACTGACAAAACAGGGGCTGTTTGCATTGGGCTCACCAATGGCTTCCACAGGCATGGAGAAAGTCTGGATTCGGTAGAGAGTGGAGATTCTGACTCTGTCCAGGAAGGTGAGGGGGATGTGCAGCCGGTCAAGTGCCAGTCGATCTCCACAGGCCTGGAGGAGGCCCCCCTCTGTAGTAACTCTGGTTTAACCAGTTCATCCTCAGCATCTGAGAACATGGCGTGTGTCCACAACCATTAAAGAATGAACTAATCTGATTTTGATCATGGGAGAGCTGGAAGCACTAGGAAGGGGCTGTCCCTGGGAGGTGCTGCATGCGCTCGACTCACTGAGCCCAGCAGGAGCTAAGGTGGCACAGCCTCTCACCAGGACGGGATTCGGACCTGTCAGCTGTACATATCACCTTCAAGAAATCAGTAGGTAGGTTAGTAAGGGCCCATCTTCTTCCCGCTGTAGCTGATGAGTAACTTGGTGTTGGTGGGAGCAGGATTGAGCCATCTGCCAAAGTCTGACATGAAACCACGACTAGAACAGAGCCTTCTGTGTTAGACTGGGGCTGTCACTTCGCTGCAGTCCTCGAGGCGACTGGCACGACGTCTTTTCCTGCTGGGAAGAGGCAGGGTACACCGAGAGATTCCTCTCAACTGTCTCTTCACCAGGCCTTGGCACTACCTACTGCCTCACAGCTTTGGGATGGATCTTGTCAGAGGAGTCCCACGAGGGGGTGGAAGCCAACGGAAACAAACTCAGTGAGCTGTAACCACCAGCCTGTTCTGCCCTCCCGTGGTTAAAAGGATTATAAGGCTCTCTTTGTGCGCTACCGCAGGAACTCTTACTTGCAGGCTGATGTAGTGGCCTTTTATTACACACTCTACGAGTGCCTCTAACAACTTGTACTATATAGAACCTTCTTCAGTGTCTGGGTCATTTCACCAACCTGGACTTTGTTTTATGTAGGTTCTTGTACCTAATATTTTAGGTACACGTCTGTCCTTTCAATGTACAACATGTATTTTTATTTCCTTGGAACATCTTTATATTATTTAATTTTATAAAGTGGAATAGTGTGTGGTATAGAGTAGCATTTTTACTACTTCTCTCTTTCTTTATTTTTTCCTCCCTAACAACACAACTACCTCATGTCTGTTGGAGAAAAAGCAGTAGATCTACTCTTTTGTTATGGTCCATTATAGGTTTTAACTTATTCTTGTACTGCCTTTTTTCTAAAGAACATGTTTGCACTGGTTGTTGACTCATTTTTAATGCTTAGTGCTGCAGGTCTGATGTCTCTCTTGCTTTGTTTCTAAGTATTGCTATAGGACATCTTCCCTACAGCTGGAGAGTTGGGTTGTGTTTCTCCATAGGACTGTGTTTTGCAGGAGCTGGCCAAAGGACACTGCTTCAGCTGGCAGGATGTTGATCCATCTTTCATTAACAAACTTGTACTAGTGAAGAGAAAAACAAGAACCAACCATTGCAAAAACAACTTGTGACTTTGTGGAAAAAAGAACCAGCAGTTGGGAAAGTAACTTGTGACCTTGGGGACATCTGTTTCTTGGGGATTTTTGTGCCCAGGAGGAGACATCTCAGATGGTTTTGATTTCCAGAGAGCAGCTCTCAGCCTTCTGTAAGCAGTGATGTGCCGAAGGCTTTGGATGAACAAGTGAAACTTTCCAGTCACTTCTGAGAGTCCAAAGTGGGTTTGGTTTTGAGGCTTTGTTTTTTTAAGAGCTGAGCACCACCAGAGCTTAAAAATGAAAATCAACTCTTTGGTCTCGTACCAGTCTGATCTGAAACTCAACCGGTGACTCTTTGCTTACTGCTGACATGTCTCTCAGCCTGGCTCTCTGGTGTGGGGTGAACTTTCCTCTATCCTTACTTTAGCCTGTCTCTGCCCCGTTCCAGGCTTGCAGAGTTTGACTGTGAACACTACAGATCAGACCAGCTCCTCGGGGTAACATGGATCAGTAATTCTGTGCATTGAGTGTTTGGTAAACGTTGTGTCCTGGAGGATTCAGAGATCTGGCCATTTGTTTGTTGGAAAAATGAAGGAAAAGATGCCCACCTCCCTCTTTTCTTACTGAAATTCTTATGGGGGAGCTGTGTGCTGACTTGAGATCCTGTAAAATACTTTAGGCTTTGCTTTTTGTGGTGAAATCTGGACTGAGACTGAGCTACCACTGCTTGCGGCAAGGAGAACCGTGCTCCACCAGCACCCTATCCTTGCTTTTGTGAAGAGCTGTTGTGCCCTGTGTTTGGAACCGAGCTGGACCAGCCCATGTACTTGCAATCCTCCGTCAAACCCTGTTAGCTCCAGCTCTTCAGCAGAGGAGTACCTCCGAGTCTCCATGTACCCTGTTGGGAAGGATATTGGAGCTTCCATCTCTCCCCATCCTACAGCTTCTCCTCCTGGCATGACACACTGCTCTGTCAAATGGCTGTATTTCCAGTCGTTGCACTTGCTCTGTTACTTCAGCTGCTGTTTGATACCTTGAGGAGTCTCAGAAATGCCATTCCATGCTCTGAAGTGCCATGACTCTGAAAGGCTGTGGCACAGAGACTGGGAATCAGTGCCAGTGAGCAGGCAAGGCAGGAGTGAGTTAGTGTGCGTGCACTACCAGAGCAAGAGGCTAGGAAGGCAAGAAATCATCACTGGGCAGAGGACGTGGGTAAATGATCTCCAGAACTCACTGCCACAAGCCTTTGAAACTAAAGACTTAGCAGGGTTACAGATAAGGCAGTGAAGTGTTATTGCAGGCAATAAGGGCAATTCACAGTTATATGGGAGCGGATGCAATCGCAGAGGTATAAACCCTCCATTGGGGAGTATTGGGCTGCGGAGGGTGGGGAGACTTCTGCAGCGGACCTCAGCTCGCAGCTGGTTTCATGGAAGAGTCCTTGTCCTTCCCTGGCGACAGGACAGACCCCGTACAAGCCACATAGCCACTGCTGGTGTGCAGAAAGGGAGAAGGACCCTTTTCCTAAAAGCTCTCTCCAGAGGAACCACAGTGGCTTCCTTTCACCTCCCAAACCAAGTCATGTGCCTGTGAGCATGACAGCATGCCAAAGGACTCCTGCTGTGCACCTCGCTGCTGGAGGGAGGGGTTTGGGTATGACCAGGGCACCAGAGTTGTTCTGGTTCTCTTCTCCTGGTTCATGTACCAGCTTTCCATCCAGGGGCTATGGGGTTGGAGGCTCAGGAGTGCCACAGTTTCTGGGATGCTCCTTTATACATGCATCCTCTGCTTTGTACTGACCTAAGCAATCATGTAGCCATGAGGTGAGTGTTCCTGATCTGCCTAAAAGCTATCCCTGCCTGTCGCTGAACCCAGCACAAGCAGGCACAGTGTGGCACCATTCCCCTGGATCACCGTGGGTCAATCACAAAACCACCTAGTTACATGCTCTGAGAGCTTTGGGGGAGATGCAGCAGGGTGCAAACAGTTCTGCTTATGCATCACATGAATATTTTGTCTCCTGATGCTGAGGCTTAACTCTGATCTTGTTACACCCCACCGAATTGTACCAGTGTGAAACTGGCAGCATTTGGATGCCCAAGGATTGTGGTGGCTGTGGAGTGGTGTGCCAGACCTCGGTACAGGAATCAGAGC